CAGCGAAATATGGGTCAGCTCGGCGGCCGTTTCTCTGGGGTCCTGGTAGGTAGGGGAGCTATAGGGGTGCGGAGGTCTCAAATTGGCGCAGCCTCAGGCTTTGTTTGCAGTTCTTGGTAGCTTCATGTAGGCAAGGGGCCTGAGGAGCTTCAGTGCTAGGGATCAAGACTGCGTGCCAGGCATCCTGACCGGCAAATTCCTGGAGAAGAGCATCCACCTCAACCAGGCGCAGGGTGTTATGGAGTGGCTTCCGGGGATTGCAAGCAACAGCTCAAGCATCGATGCGCCATGGCATCCCGACGCACGCCACAATGATGCTGTCGTCATTTAGCAGCTCCTAGCTTGCCCTGTCCGCTCCAGGAAACGGGTGCCCTCTTCAAGGCGCAAAACTCAGGGACCAGGCGTTTCTTGTACCTCAGGGTGGTTGGGCTTCGGACTTTGGTAGAGTAGGGGAGGGGATGGGAGTGTCTCAGAGGTTGGGGGGCAGTTCTTCAGCCGAGGTGGAGGATTTCGTTCCTGGCAGCGTGATCAAGGTTTACAACCGACTCTTGGTCGCAGCGCTGGCGGTTCTCCCCCGTCCATTCGGCTCAGTGTCTTTTTTCCAAGGGGAGTTTGAGATCCTGGACATGGACGACTACACCAGGCACCGGGCCTCAGCTTCCCAGCCGCTCTTCTAGTCTTGTCTTCTCGAGGGTCGCGAGCCCTGGGCCAAGGAAGTTCTTGGAGGAGGGCGGGGTGAAGAGACACTTCGACCTCGAAGGTGTCCTGCAGAAGCTGCGGGAAGGCAGGGCAGGGAAAGGAAGGATGGCAGGAACTTCGGTGCAAAAAGAGTGTCGTCATCGTAGTCGTAGGCATCCTTCCGCAGGCATGCGCCAGCAGTACCCACTGGCCCGCGACATCTTCCGCAAGTTCGACGCTGACCACGACGGCGTCGCCACCCCAGCATCTCTCGTGAACCAGAAGAGCCGCCTGCTCTCGGCGATCTTTCGATGTTCCAAGGTCCTGACAAAGACCGAGTTCAAGAATGCCCTGGTGAAGTGGGGCTTCCAGGTGACGGAGGAGGAGGCCCTCATCATCATGAAGGCTTTCGACTCGCGAAAGGAGCCCTGCGATTACCCCCGACCCAACCCCTTCTCAACGCCAAGACTTCCAGGACGGCCAGATCAGTTACAACGAGTTCTGCGATACCCTCATCGATGAGGACTACACCTATGCCTTCGGGCAGCAAGGGGCAAGGTTGCGTTTGAGTCCGTAGATCTTCACGGCTGCTCATGTCCATGTGCGAGGTAATGATGAAACAGCGGCCCAAGCTGAACCAGGACCCTGGCTTTGCATTACCCTGGAGATCTCTCCCGCACCAGCGAGAGAGCTGATGCCCTGCAGGAAGTTGGGGATTACCCGGAGCTGGCCAGGACCGCGCTTGATGAGCTTCAGCGGGTAACCTGAGTCATGCAGACGCTGTTGGTTGGATGCCCTCTGCGCATAACGAAGGTGACGCATCTCATCTGCAGGACAAAGCTTGAGGAGCAAGGCGAAAGGGAGAAGATTCGCGCAGCAGTGCGGAACATGGGAGACGTGGTGTACAAGCCCATGGCCCAGCTATGGCGCCCGTTTTGTGTGCGAAGGGCTGTTTCTTTACAAAATGTCGCTCCTGCGCACCTTCGAGGCACAATGCAAACTTCATGCGCCTCCTCAAGGCTGGCTTGGGCTCACAACTCAACTGAACGGTTTCAGAGCAGCTTCCAATGATTGCCGTTTATGGGTTTTTGTAGGGGTTGTATCAGGGGTTTATGGTTCAGGGTCTCAGGCGTGCTCTTCGAGCACTCTTAATGCCTCCCAGCGTTCAGGAGTTCGCACACCTGACGCACGAGAACACAGTGACTTGCGAGCAGATCGTCCAAGCCCTGGATTCCATCGGCAAGAGCTTCAGCTTGGAGGACTAAACCCTAAACCCTAAACGGGGACAAAAATTGGATCTGAGCCTCACGGGGCTTTTACCCTGTGCTTCAGCAGGACGTGCAGCGGTGCGTGCGACAGCCTTAGGAAGCCTCGGGTCATGAAGCACCTCCGACTCCCTTGAAACAAAGAGAGGCAGGCACTGCAGCGCGCGCTGTTGAGGTCCTACGTCTTGCCGGATTGCGATTTCGATAAAGTCGAGTACGTTCCCTTCTTGAAGGCGGTGGGCTGCCCCAGGTTGCAGCAGGCTGTTTTGGCCTTGCCTCGACTTCCGAAGTTGCGCCTGAGGTTGTGACCTCTTTCCACGACCTCAGCGCAAGTCGATGAGGCAAGGTGGGGGACCCTTGCAACGGGAGATGTTCTTGTGGCGCAGTGAAGAGCAACGGGGCAGCCTTCGCCTGGAGGTTCTCGACTGAGCTTGTTAGCGCAAGATCGGTTTCACCCGTTTCCCCACAGTTGATGCCAAAGGTACTGTGTGCCTGAATTGGGGCAGCCGGAACGTGTCACAAAAAAAGCAGCGACAGCCAATAGAATTGATTGGGAGCCACACACTTCTGCTTGTAGAAGGAAGGTCTGCTGATTCTGTCGGGATGCTGCCACCCTGCGAAGAGAGGCAAAAGGAGCAGACGAGACTCGGAAGGCGGAACCGGCGCCCGACACTCCACTCTCCACCTGCTGCCGGAGACAGAGACACAGCCCGTAAAGACGTTCAAAAGAAGAGAAGAGACGAACACTGGATCTTGGCAGCACTGCATGTCGCTCCCGAAGACGGAATCTTGCTGCCTCACATTGCACGGTTTCGCCAAACCAGAGGGGGCTTCTGTCAGCTGTTCGATCTGTGTGTCGCATCATGTCTTTCCTGTCGGTGGGCGCTGCGACGGAGCTTATGGAGCCAAGTCAACTGCAAAAGGCACAGTCTGACATAATGGTCGCGATGATGGACAATAGCAGTGTTGGGATATTTGTTTATTTGGTTGTTTGTGTTGGCTTTTTTGTGTTTGTTTGTTTTGGTTTTGCTGTATTTTGATTTTGCTTTGTTTTGGTTGTGTTTGTTTTGATTTGTTTCGTTTTGTTTTTGTGTGTGTGTGTGCGCGCGGCAACCTCGAGGATTGAACATGGGTCATGGGCCAACTCGCGCACCAGGCGGGGAAGACTTCTACCAAAAGCCGGGTGGGAGTCTTGTCCCCGCCTGGCGCAGTTTACTCAACAAAGTCCTCTCTCAGTTCTTGGGACGCAACTTCAGAGGGGTCGGCAACCAGGGAAAGTTCCCTAAAAAAAAGGGCATCCACCTCAACAAGGCAGCTGGGTTGGATGTTGTCTTACAGTTCTTCGCCGGGTGAAGTGGGGATGCAGATGCGAGGACCCAGAGCCTACACCCTGCAAGGCATGATCATGTGATGCTCGGAGCCGCTGGCGAGTCATTCGCGCCCCAACGGCCTCGTGCAACCTTTGCAAGCTTCAGCATGCGCATGGAGAGCTTCGATGATGTATTCCACTTCGATCGCCGTCCAAAAACGCCTCGGAGCTGGATCGTGTAGGAGAGCTATATATGCCCCTTCCACAATGTAGCTCCTGAAGTAACCGAGGCAGGAGGAGGCTCTATGAGCTCCTTGCAAGCCCGAGATAACTCATTGCATGCTGTACCTGTCACGCCTCCTCATAAGGCCCGTATCCTACCCTTCCGAGACCCTGGAACCCAACATTCGATGCATGAGGCCCATCCACGACCCCGCACAGCTTTCGTTTGAAGGTTCGGGACTCAGTATGATCGTGCTGTTTGGACGGTCATGGGATTGTTTGGGGTGCATTCGGCAATTGTGACTAGTAGCGAATGCTTGTCATTAAACTTGCGGTGCGATGTTCAGAGATAGGTGCACGCGTGGCAATCTCTCACTCGCGTGTTAACGATGCACTTCTTTCGGGGACATTCCATCTCGATCTCATTGCAACTCCTAAAATCAAAGATGCGACTGTTTCAATCACAGAGGCCGTTTCTTGACAGCCATTTGCGAGACGTTGTAGCCGGGGCAATGATTACCAGAGCACCTACACCCGGACGATGGGGATTTTGGACAACCTACCAAGTACAAACCCTGGCGGCTGATTGCAAGAGCACCCGCACCCGCAAAATGGCCACGCCCCGTGCGATCAATTCATCGTGTGTCTGGTGAGTCTAGTGTCACAGCAGAACGATGACGCGCGGAGCTTCGGTCAGGTGGGGCCGACAAAGACAGCAGCAAAGAACAAGCAGGAACCGAGACCTGAGTCGAAGGCCAATTAGCTTTTCAGGGAGACTGTGCGAGGCGCCAGAGCTCCCCAGTGCCGAGGAGGTCTGGAATGCAAGGCCCCCAGAGCGTTAAAGCGGCTGCATGCCCGGGGCTGCACCATCACCATCCCCATCACCACCATCATCAGCCATCAGCATCATGAGCCACTTCAGCATCATGAGCCACTTCACCGGTATCACCATGATGTTGCTGCATGTTTGCTCTGAGTCTAGCAGTGCTGGTATCACTCTTGCTGCGATGCGCTGGATGGCTTGCACCCCTAGGCGGAGTTGCAGACCGTACAGCTTCCCCAGCCCACCTACGGCGCACTTACCTGCCGTGATCTCAGCCTTGTAGAGTGCATTGAAAAGCATCTCAGCTTGGGGGTTGAGAGCCTGCAAACCGGGGCAAAGGTGTGTGTACCGTATACCTTTTCGAAAGGCACGCCAGGACTTGGCATCCCAGCCCCCCCCCCCCCCNNAGCCCCCCCCCCCCCCCTCCCTCCCCCGGAGCAAGCCTCGGGTTCGCTTGCTGCTTTTGTTCCTATTGCATTGTGCCTCCCCTCTTGCCACGACGATATTGGTAAAGTCTTCTACTCTTGCAGCTGGCTTGGTTTGCTTTTGTGCCACAGCATATTGACGACCACCACGAGCAGCTGAAAGCAATCGCAACTACAGCAAACAGCCTTGGCAGCAACGACCAGGCAGGACCCCGTTGCAACTCATCTTTCAACGAAGGGGTTGAAGCATGAAGTAGTTCCATGATCCAAGATCTTGAATGTCGCCCATCCATGCGATTACACTGGACAATGTCGACGAGATAGTCGAGAACTTGTATCTCGGTGGTATAACTGCAGCCTACGAGACCGAAAACCTTGTGGAGCAGGGGATTCGGGCTGTGGTCTGCTGTGTCCGCGAGACAGAGTTCCCAAGCTACGACTTCAACAAGCAGATTCATTACTTCCGCGTCGACGTGGAAGATGTCTCCATCGAGCCCATCGAGTACTTCTGGCCAGAGGCGATGCAGTTCATTCATGAGCATCACTCCAAGGGCCTGCCGGTTTTTGTGCATTGCCGTGCTGGGGTTTCGAGAAGTGCCTCCACTGTGATTGCATACCTCGTTAGCCAGCTGGGCTTCACTTTGAAGGATGCCTTCTTGCTGGCCCACAAGAAGAGGCCGGTAGTCACGCCCAATCTTGGCTTCATGGACAAGCTTTGTGAGCTGGAGAAGTCGATCACGGGGACTTCGAGCATCGACCTCTTCAAGTACGAGAGCTGGTGGAGCGGCTCCCACATGGCAGAAGTGCCTGACGTGGGCATCGAAGATCTCGAAGAGGACCCCGAGCCCTAAACCCCCAAACCCCTAAACCCCTAAACCCTTAAGGCCACTGCACTTTAAAAAAACAACAACAAATCCCTAAACCCTTAAGGCCACCGCACCTTAAAAAAAGAACAAAGCCCTAAACCCTTCAGGCCACCGCACCTTTAAAAAAACAACAACAAGACCCTAAACCCTTGACCCTAAAGAACCCAGAGGTTGAGAAGGTGCCGGCAGCCTTGCCTTCGTCTCCCAGCGGTCGCTCCAGCGCGGCCCAGAAGCTCCAAGCCGCCAATCGAAAGCTCAGGATCCTCCGGGCCATGTCTGACCTGGAGCATCAAAAGCAGGTGCTCCTGGACCTTCCCGACTTCGACGGAGACCCGGTTCATAGGGAGCGCATCGAGAGGATCCGATCCCTCCTCATCCGCCAAGCGGCTCACGACCCGGAGTTGGGCTACTGCCAAGGCACAAAGCCTCGGAAAGCTAGGACCAACAAGTAGGGTTTAGTTTCCAGGGCCTGCTGTTTGGGGTGCATCGTCCAAATGATCCGGGCGATAGTGGCTGTCAAGGTTGTTGTTTTCCTGCGGGCAGCAGGTATGCACCTCACCGCCGCCATCTTCGTGGCTGCCTCTGAGTCTCAGGGGGAGGCCTACTGGCGCTTCCACGGCTTCACCACGGCCCTCCGGGGCTTGTGGCTCGGATCAAGCAGCTTCCCTCTCCTGAGGAGTGGCTGCGCCTGCTTTCAGGAGAGGAGCAAGAGCTTGGAGAGCTGTAGACGGTTTAGGGTTTAGGGTTTAGAGTCTTCAGAGAGCTATATAGAGCCCTTTGCCACTTCAGTAGACCGGAAAGAGCTCAAGTGCTTTGTAAGCAGGAGCTTGCAAAAGGGAGGCCTTGGTATCAGCACCTCATGGCCTTGAAGCTTGATCTGAATGTGTACCTCGCGCAAGCCTGGCTCGGGCTTTTCGGTCTCTGGCTGCCCTTCTCAGCCCCTGGGCTCTTGCTAAGGGATTTAATTTAAGTTACCAGAATAAGGAAGCCCTAATAATTTACTAGAGATTCCCATTGTGGTAACTTAAACCCCTTAACTCCCTTAACAAGATCCCAGGTCCTGGTTCAATCCATTCAGCTCTTGGAGGGGAGCCACATGGCGGGGCTCCTGGCGATGACCTTGGCCTTGCTGGATCGGCGCAGCGACCGCTTGCATGAAGCCCAAACAGAGGTTCTCAGGGCTGAAAAAGCTCAGGGGGTTCGAAGCACGTTTTACACAACATTTTCACGGGTGACCTTCCCTGATGCTCCCCAGGATGCTCTTCTGAGGGTGCTCTCGAGCAAGGAGGACATCTCGGCCCGGGAGATCTTGCGAGAGACGCGGAAGAATCTAGCTGAGGCCTCCATCGCGCTGAAGCACAACACAGACGAAGCGGAGCTCACCCTGACCATGCGAAACTCAAGAGTCTTCTCCGATGAGCAGAAGATCTTGGAAGGCTTACCAAGCTTGTCCGAGCTGGTTCTCCAGGAACGGGTCGAGCCTGACGTGACGGAGATTGCGCCCCTACCCCGGCAGGACATTTCCTGTTGGTCCTGCTTGGAAGCATTCCGGAAGCCCAGAGAAAGCCCCCAAGTAGCGAAGCGTGCCAGAGCTAGCGTCCACGACCAAAACCAAGAGTTGGCAAAGATGCGGAGCTTCACTCATGCAACCATCAGGCACGAGGCACGGCAGCGCCTGTCTCGCTTGAACTGGGCTGATCAGACGCCCCTCCAAAAGTGAGTTCGACTCAAGGATCCGATTTCGAAGATAAAACGGAGGTGCTCGCAGTCGTCTCGGCGATCTCCAGCACAGCAGTAACCACACCAGTAGCAACACTGGCACTACTACCTTCCCACCGAGCAACTTGCCGACATTCCTGACTTACCTACCACCCTGCTATCCCCTAAACCCTAAACCCTAAACCGTGGCCTGGGTTGCCGTTTCCCATAGGCGCTGCCGCACTTCGCCGACGACTGGAGATCTGGAAGGCTGCTGTTTCGGGGGCAATTTGACGTCTAGACGGGCTATGATGGGTGCTACAGGACCCGAAAGGGAACCCTAATTTTAGAGAGCTATACCCAGCTTGTTACAAGGGAATTGCAGGGCTTAGCTTCCCGCCGAGCCCTGCCCCCTGCAACTTCAGATTCGCTCCGCAGCTCCCAAGATCGGCTCCTTGGTGCTCGGTGCAGAGGACCCCTCGCTTTGCCGGGCATACTCAGGCTTGGTTCAAGACCAAAAGGGGTTCATGGGCTGTACTCTGTTCGCTAGGTAGAAAGTACAGGGTTTGGGATTTCCTCAGCCTACAGCTTCGGGCATGTTCAGTATCTTAGTTCCTCTTGCTCCGTCCGGTGCGAGAAGCCCAAAGAAGCTCAGGAGGCTCCCGCCTTGCTCTTCGATGCCGAGTTCGAATGTGGAAGTTGGGCCCCCGGTGCGTGTGAGCTACTCCACTAAAGGCTTTGATCCTCGTGCTCGCGATTACGCTCACCACCCCGGCCGCCGACACCCCATGGCCACAGCCACCGTTGTTGTCATCGTCATCTGCAGCGTTCATCCTCAGAAGCATCTTGATCAACATCGTCATCACCATCGTCTCGTCTCCATCACCAGCATCATCGCCAGCGTCTCGTCTCCATCACCAGCATCATCAGCAGCGTCATGATCTTCATCGTGACCAGTATCATCACCAGCGGTGCCGCATAGAGGTTCTTCCATCATGATCATAATCGCGGTCGTCCTCCTCATCATCTTCGCCACTCATCACCCTAATGAATGTATCATCCTCACCAGTCTTGTCCTAATCATCTTCGTCCCCTCCTCCTCCTAGTCCTCCTGCTCCCTCCTGTGCCTGAACACAAGCAGCAGCCGCCGCCGCCTCATCTCATCAAAATCAAACCGAAACAACAGCAATCATCATCGTCATCAGCAACATCATCATCATTATCATCATCACCAATGTCATTGTCATCATCAGCATCCTCATCATCATCATCATCCTCATCATCATCATCACCATCATCATCATCTTCATCATCATCTTCATCATCATCATCATCTTCATCATGATCATCATGATCATCATCATCATCATCATCATCGTCATCGTCATCGTCATCATCATCAGCATGGTCGCTAGCAGCTTCGGTTGGATAAGTCATGCCCAGGCATGTTTCTTTCCGAACGTGCATCTTCACATCTTCTTGCCTGTACTGGCAGGCCTCGGCCCAGTCACGCGCATGACGGCCAGGGAGTACGAGGTGAGGCTGTGACAGTGTATGACGAGTGGTCAAACCCGGAGCCTCGGGGCTCTGCGAAGAGTTGAGGGCCGAGGGTTGTTGGAGTTTAGTCGATGGGAAAGTTGGTTTTCGGAGCAACTCGCCAAAAGCATTGGCATTTCCATTCCATTACTCGTTCTGTGCAGTGGTGAGGGCAGGCTGGTAGCTGTCGGCGGCTTGGATGATGGCACAGGCTTGATCACCTTGTGATGCTGAGGTGCAGCTACTCTCTGATGCTGGCGGTGGTTATGTACAGTGGCCTCGCGGCTGCACCTCACGTGCACCACAGCGGCTTTCGCCGTTCTGTGAAAGTAAGGTTCTGCTTCCGGGTCAGAAATATGCGCGTTGGGATGTCGAGCCCCAAGCTTCTCCGCGTACGCTGCACCCGGGCTGCAGAAACCAGATGTCAAGATCGCTATGAGCTGGAAGCTTCTCAGGCCCTATACCTTCCACCTCACGAATTTGGTAAAGCCAGGAAGTCTCTTTGCCTGGAACCGAGATTGTGTCTCTGCCCCACTTTCCTTCCTATCTGCTTGTTCTCTCAGGACGATGGCTGCCAGCCTGTTCTCTTCTCGCGCCGGAGCCGCTCCAGAAAAGCGATGCAAATAGCCTTCGCTGTCTCCCATTTTTCCTGCCCGCAAGGAGGATGGAAGACTGTGGCGTCGGTTGGTCCCGGGAAGGCCATCTCTTGTGGAAGAGCGGAGTTCGAAGGGCCTTGCCACTATGTTGGCAGGAACCGACGTGGCCTACTACCCATGTGGCCTCGCGGTTGCATGAACAGCTCTCTCTCTCTCTCTCTCGCTCGCTCGGTGACCTCACAGAAGGAAGCTTGAGGAATGTTGAGCCGTTTTGCATTCGGCCTGAGCCATGAGAGATTTCATTACAGAGGGCCCAAGTGGAAAGTGGAGTGGAGGTCTAGTACTCAGAAGGACTTAGCGGCTGACTCTTGGAACTTGCGACACTCTTGCGCACGTAGCTGTCCCCGACAAAAGGTCCAGCTCCTCATGAGCAGAAAGATCAACTGGTCAGACTCTCTAAGCCCCGATCACGAGCGGACCCAGGTTTCGGCGCTGGAGCTAGGAAGCACCACTGCGTTACCTTCGACGTGGTCTTCCCCTTCGAGGAGGTCCTG